AAATTGCTCACTTCACTGGTGGTTGCCATCTTCAAATGGGAGCGGGTGGGGGCCCTAAATGACAATAAGGGGGGACCTGATTGGTAACCTTAAGGCACACTAGTTACCTATCGTGTTTTTTTTTATTAAAAATAATAATAATAAACTAGAAAAGCTACAATTTATGGGGAAATTGTGTGAAGTGTTCTTGCCTCCACCAGTAGTCTACAACTGGAGTGGGTGGAGTAACTGGGTGGAGTTGCTTGAGTAACTGTTGTGTGGTTGGAGTGGCTGGAGTAACTGTGGAAAGGTTGGAGTGTGGTTCACTCACTCTACAGCAAGGACAGAGAAGAGCTTTCAAATCTTTCAAATCCCTCGAACATTCCACCAACTGCCAACAGGAACTAATAGAATTCAAATAGGGAAAGAAGAGCGGTTAAAAACAAACTGCTCCAAATTGCTCACTTCACTGGTGGTTGCCATCTTCAAATGGGAGCGGGTGGGGGCCCTAAATGACAATAAGGGGGGACCTGATTGGTAACCTTAAGGCACACTAGTTACCTATCAGAGTACTCTAATTGGTTGGCTAAAACCAACCAATGAAGTCAAATTGCAGGGCATGGGAAGGCTTTACAAGCCTTTCTCCACACTGGGGAGCTCAGTCTGTGTGGTGCCCTACCTGGGTGAAGACGGATTTTTTTTTTCAAGAGTCAGGTTTTTTTGGGGGAGCGTGTTTTTTTTTTTTTTGCGCTCTGACCTTTTTTTATTTTTACAATTTCGACAGGCTTTATGGATTTTAATTTGGCCTTTTTGGGGGCCGAAAAAAGAAGGTTTTAGAAAAAAGAAGACATCAAATGGTAAGTTTTTTTTGTATTTACAGGTATTTCGTTTTATTGTTCTCGCTTCACCCCACATATAGAGTTTGTAGTTTATTTTTTTGGGTAGGGGGTGACTAGGGGCTTGGGGATCCCTAGTCACCTGGGGAGGGGGGATATTTTTTCATTTAAACCCCACCCATCGCCCATGGGTGGGGGGGGGGGAACAATAGTTCTAGGTCCTAGGTCCGGGCATAAAATAGCTAATATGGAGAGACTAGGAGCATTTGAGGGTGACTAGGGGAGCATTTAGATGTAGAGGAGTCAGGAGGGGGGTTAAAAAAAAAACAAAAAAAACGGATATGGCCATGTTTTAAGGGGACTGGGACAATGCACCCACACCACTTCAATTAGCTGAAGTGGTCTGGGTGCCTATAGTGTCCAGTGCGACTATACGCACAAAAGCTTATGGAAGTTAAAAGAATCTCTCCTCCAAGACCCTTCCTATGTCACCACGGTACAAGATGCTATACAAGATTATATTTACTCAGTCAGACTCCTGGCACATCTGTGAGCACTTTTTGGCAGGCACATAAAATTGGTAATCAGAGGCTTCTTACTTCGAAGAGCCTCCCACTTAAAAAACATCTCTCAGACCCACTGGTTGACCTGTCACAAACAGCTACAGGACTTAACTAAAGAAAACCAAAGTCGATCCAGTTAACTTCTCCTTTCACAAATTAATGACCTATTGGACAAAATAAACACAAGTACCCCGCAAAAAGTGAGTTATTATCCACAAAAACTAAAGGCCACCCAATGTTAGCCGTTGGAAAAAAGCCAGCAAACAACTGGCTTGAAGGCTAAAGCAAAGGGAAGCCAATTCTAGAATCCTGCATATTATTACTCAAAAGGGAGATAAAGTAATCTTGCAAAATATTAGTAATGCGTTTACCACATCTATGATTCGCTATATAACCTAGCACAACTCTGTCAAATGCATGTACCTTCCAAACCAGACATCGATACATACCTGGTGAACATTTACCTACCGAGCCTCACACCAGAAGTAATTACAACCCTCAAGGCTTCTGTTTCACACCCTAAACATAAGCTGACATTCAATTGTTACAGGCAAATAGGGCCCCAGGTCCTGATGGCTTGAAGAATCTTTAATATAAGAAGTTTAAACAAGTTTTGGCCTCTCGCCTAGCATCTGTCATCACCCTCCCCAAACACGGCAAACTTTCAACACAATGCCCAAATTTCCACCCAATCTCCTTACTGAACACAGATACAAAACTTTATGCAATAATTTACGCCAACTGGTTAAGCGACATTCTGCCACTTGATTCATAATGATCAAATAGCCTTCATAGCAGGCAGACAAGGGTCATATAAATATCTGTAAGGTTCTCAACCTATTGCATAGCGTTAGGCGGTTGGGAGTTGGAGGCCTACTCATGTCGCTCAACATGGAGAAGGCCTTCTGCTATCTAAATTAGACTGTTTTGCGTGCAGTTATCCCAAGATTAAATTTTCCTACGCAATTCTTAAATTTTGTTTCTGCACTATACAGCTACCCATTTGCTCTGCTGAACACGGGGGTCTGCTCTAAACTGTGTGTGATAGCAAACAGATCCAGACAGGGATGCCCACTCTCCCCCCTACTATACATCATAGCCCTGGAGCCGTTGGTGAGTAAAATCCATTCAGACACATCTATACATGACGACAAGGAATACAAGCTTAGCCTCTTTGTCAATGATGTGTTCTTAACTCGAACACAATCCCACATCACGCTTCCTAATCTAATGGCTCTTATAATAGAATACGGCCGACAAACTGAATGTCACAAAAACACAGGCACTAAGTATTAACATCCCAAATATATAATTAGAAAGACTTAAAATGGCCTTCCTCTTGGACTGGCAAACTGATTCCTTCACCTTCTTGGGAGTTAAAATACCAGAAACCCAACTAACTTGTTCAAAGCCAACTACATCAATGATTTCAAGACTACACTTCAATCTTGGGAAGGGAAGTTTTTATCCTGAGTAGGCCATGTAGAGGGGGTTAAGATGTCCCTCCTAGCCAAGTTGAAATATCTATATAGAACACTACAGATCTCTCCCCACAAAGGATTCATAATCACTTTGCACAAGCTGATGGTACAGTTTACATGGCAAAACAAAAGGGTGAGGGTGGCTTCTAAACTACTGGAGAAGACAATTCCGAAGGGAGGCCTGGGTTTCCTGGGGTCCCTCTCAGGTTTTTCATAATGAAACAACAATTTGATCTGCCCTCTTATCTCATGTTCTCATATTTCCAATTAAAATCGTGCCTAACTGCTAATAAACCCATCATCAGCATCATTTCCCAAACACAACCTTTATCAAAATTTGAACAAATCTGCATCCTTCTGAAAATCGTCAAAAAAGTATTATCATTATACTGTCACATTTTAACAAACACACCAGCTAACAATACAGATGCATACATAACTGATTGGCAAAAGGAAATACGCAGAATCATCCCTCCCTGCGCATCTCATCTTGAACTTCAACGAAAAATGCTATAGTCTCCAATAAACACAAATATCTGCTGGAGATGGTAATGGCACCATGATGCATGTCTGGTGGTCCTGCACAGCCCTGACTGATTTTGAAAAAAGGTGGGGAAGCTCATTAGTGAGATAACACACTTCCCATTGCACCCAACCATAGATACCTGTATTTTATTTATACCACCAGAAGGGGTTTCAGTACCCATATGGGTGATTATGTACTAACATTGGCAGCCACTACAATTTACAGTTTATAAAAATCCTCCACAACTCGTGAACAAACCAATGTTCAATATATAGTAAGCAACATTCTCACTGTCCCAGGTAAGCTGCCAGATGAACAATTTTTGAGAGAGTAGTAACCAGTTCTTCATTCTTCCCAATGAATGAAGAGAGAGATACATAACCCCCCCGCCCGACCCACCTAAATGGTGTGAGCTAGGCTATTTTCTTCACATTTATATATCTTGCTTCCTCTATATATACACTGTCAAAACAAATTCACTGAGACAGCCACTAGAGGCTGGATTAACCCATAGGTAAACATAGCAGTTTCTATGAAACTGCTATGTTTATAAAAAAAAAAAAAAAGGGTTAAACCTAGCTGGACCTGGCACCCAGACCACTTCATTAAGCTGAAGTGGTCTGGGTGCCTATAGTGGTCCTTTAATCACCACAGCAGATTTGACTGTAGAAGGCAAGATGTTCATGATTGTATCCCGGTAATAAGGAGAGGTATTCCATTACTGCAGAATATTCTTATGGAGAACGCATACAAGCCGTTGCCCAATAAACATTTGGGATTGATGAAATTAGGATACCGAAGAGCCTCATGGCTTTCCTTATGCAGCAGGTTTTTTGACAGAAGCGTCTGATGATCTATTTATCTGTATCTTTTTTTCTTCTGGTTCAAAAATGCTCATGAAAGTAAAATGTATCTTTAGACTGAAAAATATTGAAGTTATAGTCAGAGTAGGCACCTGCTTTCTCCACATTGCGGGTGTCTGCTTCTCATTGCTCCCTTGCGGCCGCCATCTGTAGTGATGCAGGAATAGGACGTCTTATTTCAGCACCACTAAACCACGCGCGAGGGAGCAGGAAGGAAATCTCCAGTTAGAAGATCCCCACTGAACCCCAGGGAATCATGTGAGCGTGTGCAAGAATGTGTGTGGGTGTCTGTCAGTGAGTGAGTGTCTGTCAGTATGTTTGTGTCAATGAGTGTGTCTGTGTCACGATGGCCGCAGCTGGACAATGGAGTACCTGAAGGTGCACGGATGCCACGTCACATTCCACCATGAAGTCGACTTGCTCCACCTTCACAGGCGGGAGGATCTGCTTTGGCACAGTGCGCAGAAGGCGCCATTTGGGGTATACCAGAGAGGCCAGACTCCGAAGTCGCATACTGGCTGCAGCAATGTGAGTAGAGTCTGCTTGTTGGCTAGAGGGGGATACTTTTTTTGCGGCCCACACAAACTTACACCTTAATTATTTGGCCCGTGTAGACTTTGAGTTTGTAAAAATAAATAAAATCCCACAAAATTACTTCTACATAACCTTTACATTTTCCTACTCATAGTGGATATCTAGTTAGTCTAGACGAGTGAAACCATTCTAAAAATCATGACTAAAAAATAAAACTTGGTACACTTCAGTTTCAAAATTATCAACTGTTTATTTTTTGGGTTCACAAGGCTGATTCAGTGAATTACCCAACTTTTTTAATTCTTAATTATTCACTTTTTTTCCTTTCAGGTATACAGGCTAATGAAAAGCATGCAGATATCAGGACAATGAAAAAACAAAAAAACATTTCTTGAGGTGGTGTGGTTTAAACATAAAATTGCACCAAACTTTTTTAAGATTTGACCCATAAACACCTAGAACTACTGATGCTTCTAATGCCATGCATTTTCTCATGGTGTTACATACTAATAATGCATTAGTAAATTTAGTATACCTACTCTCCATGCATAGTTAGGCATTAGTATATACTTGGCATTGTAATATTAGATTACAATATTTTTGTAAATATTGGCACGATATACAATCAAGCACTTGAATATCATAACAAATAAGCCAAACTTAAAGGTAAACTATACTCCAAAATTACTTCAACTTAATGAAGTGATTTTGGGGCATGGATGCTGCTCCTGCAAATGAAAAAATTTCTGAAAATCACCACTGTTTTTATTTTATAATCCTCACATCGCTAAAGGAATTCAGACAAATAACCACTAGATGCTTTTCACTAGAGTGGATTCTGTAATTTAATGTATTTTATGTCTGCTGTGGGCATGCAAAGTATACAGACACTGGATCCTGTGTATGTGTCCAATGCTTATCTCTAAGGGGAACTGGATTGATGGATCACAGCAAGCACCACTCATGCACCGAAAGAGCCACACTAAAACCTACCACTATTCCAGTTTATTGAAGTGGTTAGGGCCAGGAACAGCAAACACCTTTATGTTTCACTAATCTGACAAATTTACAAAACAGGAGTGGAGATTGTAGTTTCACTTTAAAGCTCTGTCTATCAAACAGCCAACAATTACAACTCTCGTCTTGTAGCATAAACGTGAAGAGACTGGATAAGCTGAAACAGATATAGCCCTTAGAACATCCCTTTGATTGCCAGATTTGGTACTTTAATAAACCAACATTTAACTTTGCTGTGCAATGCCATTGCTTGCTTTGGTGGTAAACATTTTATATACCATTCAATTAACTGTTTACTGACAGTACACAGTCAACTCTCTACAATCACCACGATACAAAACTCACCATTATATTCCCTCATGAGTATGGGGAAGAAAAAAAAACAAACAAAAAGATGATGATGATGATGATGACGACGACGACAATTCACAGTACAGCAGAGAGCTTTAAACTATAGTAAAAGCACATGTATAAAAATAGAAATTGTGTTTTCAACAATAATTTATTTAGAACTAGTTAAATTATGAAAAGTGACAATTAGTGTGTTAGGGATTTCATTTCAAGCAAGTTTTTAGTGGCACTTTCAGGTAATAGCACCTTGTAAATACACTTAAGCTGAAGACTTTAGAAAATAGTGTAACTCAACACACACGGTGAAATCTCAGTGATCTAAATAAAAACAAAACAAAATTTGAAATTTAAAGATTGCGACAGAACAAAATAAATCAATGTGTTGCTCTTGATTGAAAGCTATATTGCAAGTCCAAAGGCACTGACTATACAGTACATAGTTTTGTTCTCCCATCTCACAGTACAACTCCCTGTAGAAAATAGACAAAGAAAGTAATGACAAGTTAGTTGTGCATGTATATATTTTGTGAAAGATAAATTTCTAATGGACTTTCTTATCTTGAATTTTTTTTTTTTTAAAGCAATTAATGAATTATGAGTTTTATGCAAAATTAAAATGATCAATTACTAGCTAATTTCACAAATTTGATCTTGTGGATTCTGAAAATAAGTTATTGTTAAGGATATTAGTATTAGGTTAACATTAGAATATTATGCACATGAGCATTTGTAAAAGGTATATCTATGCATAATGAGACCACCTGTTCTTAAAACAGGTTTGTAAAATAGTCTTGTATTGATTCTATCCGGATAAATAAATAACAATGAGAAAAAAAATAAAAAATTTTTTTACCTGAAATCCTAATAATAATAATTCATAAAAAAAAAAAAAAAAAAAACATTCATATTTTTGCAATTAAAACTGTCCTTACCGTCTGTTGCATTATCCCAGAAACAGGAGCTTGCTGTGTGAAGTCCTGCACCATTTTTCTGCATAATTACACAAGTCACTATCAAGAAGAAAATATAGTTTTGTTAGAAGTCACCTCATCCTTCCTCCCTCTTGGCCACCTTATGAAGTTCATACTTAACTATGACACAGTGGTTCACAGTTCCTGACTATAATATTCATTTAAGAGAGGTATAAACTTGCACTAGTCCCCTTAGCAATGAATAGTGAAAAGTTCCCCAACTGGGTGGGTACTCCTCAGTTTGCCAAGAGGTTTAGACGTGCAGTTACAAGTTCTTCAGTTGAGGTGGGAGGCCAGTGTTATAGATTCAGCAATGGAGTCTATATAAAAATAAAAAAAGCCACTGTCCTTGTACTAATTCATTGGAAAACGCCTCGTACTTATTCACTAAATGGTTTGAACAGGTGGAGGGAATGAGTACAGTGAAAGAGTTGCTTATTACATCCAAGGAAGCTTGGGCAGATAACAAGGACACACTAACTCACATGTTAGACATCAGAAGACTTTTAGTCCAAGATACATCAACTTTCTAAATTTACTTTCTCCATTTTGTTTCTACTTTTGCAGCTTCTTTCATGCTTTCTCCCATTCAGTCTATCCACATGCCTTTCTCCTTCCCCATGTTTTTCTGCCACCTCCTTTCATTTTCTTATACTTTCCCAATACCACTTTGTCACCCACAATGATGGCTTTTTTTTTTTTTTTTTATTTACTGGTGTGAGGGAATGAGGATCAAACAGTTCTGCTTTAAGTCAATATGCATCCACATATTTTTATCATCAGGACACTTTTATTTGATGGGACACTAAAGTGCTCAATGCCATACACCAGCCTGAGATGATTTTTCAGTAATGGCAGGTAAAACCAAATTGCACTAGTTTTGTTTAGTTTTTTTTCTAATGTTGTTTTTCAATGTTATGCTTATGATCTATGGTTTGTATAGCAGGTACGGTAATGTATACCGGTGAACAGTTAACAGCTACATTCTCTACCATGCAGCCCAGGCCTTGACCAAGACTAAACACTGTATAAACTAAAAATTACCTCTATAGATGTTATAGAAATGGCCAACAGCATGCTTTTAAGATATTTAGTTTTGTAGTTTCAGTATTGATTTGTGGAACTGCCATTATTAAATGCTGCTGGTTCAATGGTGTTTGTACTGGACTCACATTAAAGGAGTTAGCAAAAGATACACTCGGCTCTACAGAAAAACATAATTGTTAGGTGCCAGCCGCAACATTTCAAAGAAATGTGGTGTCCCAACTCTTTGGTTTGTCAAGCCTTAACTGTAAAATGCCAAACTTTAAATGGAGAGATTACTTACCAATATACTTAAAAGGCTTGCCTAATTTTGTAAGCTGACTGAGGGTTTGTTCCACCACATTGGTGGTCCACTGGTTGACTTTGTTATGTTGATACGCATTCCCACCTATGGCACTTTCTATGGACTAAAAAAAAAAAAAAATGTTAACACAATGCAATATAATGGCCCTGGGAGACTGATCTTGATAATTACTTACAAACAACTTAATCAAAATGTGTCTGTGGCTTGAATCAGTAAACGAACATAAAAATGTTATATTTGAGGACCTTTTATACAAATTCTGACTGGAATAGGAACATTTTTTATATTTCTTTATAATTCTCTTTCTAAGAAACCGTAATAATGCAAGACAGTGTTTGTGTTTTGTCAGCTTTCCAAAACAAAAATATATTTTAGGAAAATGAAGTAGTTATTTATACTACACATCAATAACTCAATGTATTGCATTAAAGCAGCTAGAATACTCTTATACATACTCGCATTGACTGTGTTGGATATTCACTCAAAACCCAACGCAGTCAAACGATAGCAAGACAAATGGACTTAAGTTTGTCTTAAGGGCAAATCTAAATTTAAGGAAAGGCGAGCTTTGCTGCCAAGTTTTGTCAATTCTCACAGCCAAGCAGGCTTCTTCTTGCAGATTGCAAGACTTTGTCTGTGGATGATACCGCAATCACATTTGTCAGTGTTGCACATGTATGAGAATACAGCACTGATGCAGCTCCTGAAGCAACAAGAGTTGAAGAAAGAAGATGGCGGCGGAACACACAGGGTACAATTTCAGGTAAGTTTATCTAACTTTCAACAAGTGGGGATCTCGGTCACCTTTTGTGGGTTGTTGCAAAATATGCAGACATGCCATAGTGATAGAGCCTATTTAACTTTGGTTAAAGCATATTTTTGTTTGTAAATCTTACCTCTTTAATAATATTAGTTACTTCATCCACAACAAAGGAGGACTGAAAAAAAAAAAAAAGTAAAAAAATTATATAAAAGTGTGATCATAACAATCCCTTCCTCTACTATAACACAAACATGCCACCGTTATTTATAATATAGTTTAAATATGGACTGCACTCTGACATAACAAAATGTGGACCCGCAGCTGAATGAATACAATAAAAATCTTGTGTGAGGAAAAAGGTATAACAAAGCAGCACTGCCACTTTTGATTATAACAATACATGCTTGATAAAACTCATAGAATCTTAAAGGACCACTATAGTGCCAGGAAAACTATAGTGCCCTGAGGGTGCCCCCACCCTCAGGGTCCCCCTCCCGCCCGGCTCTGGAAGGGGTAAAAACTTACCTTTTTCCAGCGCTGGGCGGGGAGCTCTCTGCCTCCTCCGATCCGCCCCGTCGGCTGAATGCGCACGTGCGGCAAGAGCTGCGCGCGCATTCAGCCAGTCGCATAGGAAAGCATTCATAATGCTTTCCTATGGACGCTTGCGTGCTCTCACTGTGATTTTCACAGTGAGAAGCACGCAAGCGCCTCTAGCGGCTGTCAATGAGACAGCCACTAGAGGATTTGGGGGAAGGCTTAACCCATTGATAAACATAGCAGTTTCTTTGAAACTGCTATGTTTATAAAAAAATGGGTTAACCCTAGAAGGACCTGGCACCCAGACCACTTCATTAAGCTGAAGTGGTCTGGGTGCCTAGAGTGGTCCTTTAATCCTTTCATGAAATTCCAATCAAATCAGTATATATTTACAAAGCAAAGTAGATATTGCTTTGCCTCATGTACACATCTAATTCAAGCAAAAGGTATAATTTCAAACAGCTTTTTCCATCTTACTTCGCATGAGATGATTATGGTATGAAACATGAACTGCATCACGTGTTGATATTTGTGTGCTTACTTTGGTAAACCATTCTCTGTCAGACTTGGGCAAAGCCTATTTTCTTTCAAATGCTTTATTATTAAAAGTTATTCAATAACAAAAATGACAATAACACTGTATGAATTACAAATAAACAAAAATAAAAAAATACATATTACAGGGGAATACAAGGAGTAAATGTTTCCAGTATTAATTGCAAATGTTGATGAAATAGTATGCGTTATAAACATTATGTCAATTATGTATTATATCAAACAATAAAAAGATCTCAGATCTGCTGTATCCCATTAAAAAAAAAAAAAAAAAAAGTTATAGTGGAAATCTTTCTGTGTTTGTGTCTGGTCAAGTGAGGTAAGTATTAAAGTAAATACCTTTTTCTGACGTCCCGCTCCCAGAGTCCCTTATTCATACCTTAGGGTTTCCAGCGTGTATGAGGGTGCTCTAGAGGCCAATTCACACCTCTTGATCTCTAATATATTGTTTAACACCTCAGCTATAGAAAGAATAGTGTCCGATTTCCAGTATCTAGGTATGGCTGAGATCAGGATATGACGTATTATAATTTCTGTAGCTTTTGTAAACCATCCAGGAGTTTCTTCAGGAGGCACATTGTAGGTGTTAAGTTTGGAATTAAAGTGGTAAGGATTCCAATTAATGTCTGTATATCTTTCCAGTATTGTGTGAGTTTTGGACATGACCAAAAGATATGATGAAGTGTGCCTACCTGTCCACATTCCCTCCAGCATTGGTTCATATTTAATAGTTTGAAATTGAAAAGTCTGGAGGGAGTTAAAGGATCACTATAGTGTCAGGAAAAGTAAGTGGTTTTCCTGACACTATAGTGCCCTGAAGGGGCTAAAACCACTTCAGCAGCTTACCTTTTTCCAGTGCCGGGCTCCCTCGGCGCTGGTGACCTCTCCTCCCCCGCCAACGTCCGCGGAGCCGAATGCGCGCCAAGTGCCTCGCACATTCAAGCTGTCAATAGGAAAGCATTTTTCAATGCTTTCCTATGGACGCTCTGCGTGATGCAGACATAATATGCCTCCAGCATCGCAGATGCACCTCTAGTGGCTGTCCGGAAGACAGCCACTAGAGGCTGGCTTAAACCTGCAATGTAAACATAGCCGTGACTCCTCTAACATGATCTGGACCAAAAAGCAGAAGGTTTAATTTTTTTTCAAAACAGCATCCCGATCTTGGTGGTTGGGAACATGTTCGCCATTCACGGCCAAAGAGAGGAGAGTGACCATAGCACTTCAGTTATCTTATAGGGAGAGATCTTAGTAGCCTCCATCTCCAACCACAGCGGGCGACCATGTTCCAAATTAAATTTAAGAGCATTAGCTGCGAAATAATACTGACTCAAATTCAGCAAACACATACCTCCACTAACTCCAAGTTTTTGTAGGATAGCCAATTGAATTCTGCACGTTTTATTTTATTCCAGACAAATGCCAGAAGGGCAGAGTGAACCTTCTTTTAAAAAGAGGAAGGTATAGTGAGGGGGATAGCTCTAAGAAAGTATAAAATTCTAGGAAGGAGAGCCATTTTGACCGAATTTATTCTGCCCAACCAAAAAAAATTTACAGTCAACACCATCTCTCAATGTCGTCCCTAAAAGCGAGCCAGACCTTAGCTAAATTATATGTATGCATATTTGACAGGTTCTTGTAGAGATTAATACCTATATAAGAGATGTATGAATCCCTCCAGTCAAAGTCCTCTTTTAAATAATTTAATATGTGCCGTGGGATATAAAAAAAAAAATAAATAAAAAGAAATTGCTCCTGAGTCTTATTTGTGTTTAACTTATAGTAAGAAATTTTGCCCAATTCTTGCAAGATAGACCTTAATGACAGGACTGAGGTTGAAGGATTTTTCAAAGATAGCATAATTTCATCTGCAAATAAGCCTATTATGTTCCCTCTCTCCTACCATAATACCCTCGATGTCCGTACATTGTCTTATAGACTCAGCCAAAGGCTCCATTGCCAGCATGAATAACAGCGACGGCAATGGGCAGCCCTGTCTGGTCCCGTTGAATAAAGCAAAATGGTCAGATACAAAGCAAGTTGTGGACACCGTAGCCGTTGGATTATAGTACAACGTGAACACAGCTCTGACATAACTTCTTTTTAAAAAATCCCAAATGTATCCTATCGTACGCTTTCTCTGCATCTAAACATACGAGCAGAGAAGGCGTGCTGTTCATTTTAATGTGGTGAATCAGATTAATTTAGCATCTAGTGCTATCCGGGGCCTGACATTTAAAACGAAGTCCACCTGGTCTTGATCAATTAAAAGTGGAAGTATTTGAACTAACCTATTGGCCAATATTTTGGAGTATATTTTAGTATCATTATTAATAAGTGAAATTGGGTGCTTTGCCAGGTTTAGGTAATGTTGTAATTTGAGCGCATAACGACTAGTAATGTAAGTAGATGAGGAGCTAATAAACCGGAAAAGGACTTCTAAGACTTATTTTGATCTGAACGTGGAATGAAACTGAAGAGGATAGTTTGAAATTGTTTTTTCTAGGGTAGATGGAATCTTACCATGTTTAAAATGTGTCTCCTGAAGAAATAGAACGTCAGATTTATGAGTTTTTGTCTCACCTAGCAATAGCCTACGTTTATGTGGCGTGTTTAGGCCCCTCACATTTAGTGAAAAATTTTTTAACACCATATCTATTATTTACAGTTGACGAATATAAAGAAGTAAAAAAAAAAATAATGGAAAAATCTGTGAGAGGCCCAAATCACACCCAGCAGTGTAGAAAAAAGTTGGAGTTGCATAGGGAAAGAAAAGTCCAACTTACTCACCTGACCAGGACGAGTATAGCATCCATATGTTACAGCAGAAAGAAATACATTCAAATTATGTATGAAAGTCATATATACATATCTGGAAACGTTTGTTTTTTGTTTGAAAAAAATAATAATAATAATAATAATAATAGCATTTCTGATCAAAAAATGTAAAAATTATTGAAACGCTGTTTAAAAAAAAAAAATGAAGGAAAAAAAAAAAAAACTTGGATAAGGGGCAAAACATAAAATAAAGAAACAATAACAATAATAAACAAGAAAGAAGGCAGTGAGAGGAGGAGTGAAAAGTTTCTCCATCTCAAGGCAAAGCCTGTTTTCAACAGTATGGGGTGAGAAAATGTGATATTAAAAGGACCCTAGAGTCACCAAAACCACTACAGCTTATTAAATTTGTTCTGGTGAGTAGAATCATTACCTTCAGGCTTTTTGCTGTAAACACTGTCTTTTCAGAGAAAATGCAGTGTTTAACATTACAGCCTAGTGATTACGTTACTGGCCACTCCTCAGATGGCTGCCTAAAATGCATCCAAACATTCAGTATCTCCTCCCTCTGCATGCAGACACTGAACTTTCCTCATGGAGAGTCACTGATTCAATTTATCTCTATGAGGAGATGTGGATTGGCCAGGGCTGTGTTTGAATCATGCTGGCTCTGTCCCTGATCTGCCTCCTTGTCAAACTCAGCCAATCCTATGGGGAATCACTGTGATTGGATCAGGCCACCACTTCTGATGATGTCAGCAGACAGATTTTTTTTTTATTTTTTTTATTTTTTTTAGGCAAACCGTATGCAGAGTTACAGCTTCAGGCTTGAATACAATAAGATTTTTATTACATTTATGGAGGCATGAGAGGGCCAGGGGGCTAGATGGAGGTTTTAACACTGTAGGGTCAGGAATACATGTTTGTGTTCCTGACCCTATAGTGATCCTTTAAGAGAGCAAGAAAGCACGCATAAGTAAATTAAGGTTAGTAGTGTAAGAGAGAAGGGCACTGAACCAGGGTGAAAGCAGTTCAGAGATTATTTATTTTTTATTAAGCCCTTAAGGACTGAGCCAGTTGTACAACTTGTGATCAAAATAAAACAAAACCTGGGGCTATAGGTCTGTCCAACCGTAATTCACTTCTTTCATATTAAATGCACCCACACTTATTATATATAAAATTTAGTTCAGGAGAAACATTTAAAACCCTCACTTAACCCTAAATGTCCCGTGTGCCTAAGCTTAGTGAATGCACTAACTATAATGAAAGTGTAAAACTTGTTTTACTTACCTTCCAGGACCTTGCTGTGGAGGAGTAGCAGGAGTGCTAGCACGCATGTGCAGCACAGGAGACAGCTGATTCCCCTCACCGGAAGTGACGTGGGTATAGCAATCTGACGGAGTATACCAGACTGATAGAACACCTGCTGTCAGCACAGTGCCTGCGGACCGGGGAGGGAGAGCTCTGACCTCCCCTCCGGTCCGCAGGCACATTGCAGGGCTGGCACCTGCATGTGCTGGCAGGGGAGGGAGAGGAAGACCGGCGGATTTCTCGGGGGGGGCAATTGCCCCGTTGCCCCCCCCCTGGATCCGCCAGTGGCTACCATACAGTCTCAAAGGCAACATAACCAATCTGGCAAATTTGAATGTGAAAAAATGAAAATGCAAGTCTTATATTACATTCTGTAACTTTTGATGGTGGGTGCAGTTTTTTGCATTGCATTTTTGCTCTGTTATACTCGAGAGACTTTGCTGAACACAAATATTAGAGTTTCCAAACATTACAACAATTATACCATCAGTGAAAATGCCGTTTGTGTGTGAAAAATGCAAAAAACTGCACTTTCACAGACATTCTCATTGTTGTGATGTGTTTTTTGAAACACTAATATTTGTGTTCAGCGAAGTCTCCCGAATAAAACTGTACCCCCTTATGCATAGGTTTTATGGAAAGTTACAGGGTAAAACATAGGGCTTGCGAACCATATTCTCTGGACTTTCTGCCTGTCAGGCAAGACCCTCAAATTGTAATTAATGAAATGACTATCATGAAAAAAAATAAAAAAAATAATAGATATATATATAGACTTCGCTATCTATCTAATATATATATATATATATATATATATATATATATATATATATATATATATATATATATATATATATATATACACACACACACACACACACACACATATATATATATATATATATACACACACACACACATTTTTAAAATATTGTTTATATATAGATATACATATATGTATTTATAACATCATTCTAAATGTATTTTTATTTAAATATATATGTATATTAATATCAAAATACAGTTCGAGCAAAAGTATACAGGTGTATAATATTTTTTAATTTAATTTTTTTATTTATTTTTTAGTTGTATTTTGTCAATTTTCTTATTGATTTTTAATATATATTTAACGTCATTCTAACTGTATTTTAATATATAATACAATAATTATATATTAATATTAAAATACACTTAAAATAATAGTTTGTGTGTGCGTCTCTGCAAATTAAAGTACTTACATCATATAAAATATATATATGATGTAAGTACTTTAATTTACTTTATTCTTTTTTTTTTTTTTACTTTTACTTCCGTTGAAAAAAAAAAAAAAATAACTTTTTTTTACAGGCAGCAAGGGGACAGCCTGAGAGCTCAGACAGTCCCCCTGTTGACACTGCATGAGCCGGCTGTTCCGGCCATGTGATCGCAAGGACCCCGCAATCACATGACCCTGGAGAGCCGGATCGTGCAGAAGGGGGCTGCTTCAGTTCCCAGGCAGGTCCCTGCATCGCGACCACCGTCGTGGGATCGGTGGGGACCCGGTAAGTCCCCTGGACATTCTATGGTCGCCCTCCGGTGTTTAGGACCGCCCAAAAAAGGATGGCATAGAACGCCCGCCATCTTTAAGGGGTTAAAGAGCAATAGGTAGGCATGATTATTTCCCCAAAATTGTTTCATTAGGGGTGTTGGAATCCCACCATAAACTTGTAGCATCTGAACCACTAAACTGAGAAAAACAGTTATGGCGCTTAATTATTTTTCCAATAAACAAACACTCAAATCATTACAAATAAAAAGCATTGTAATGCTTGGAGCCAGCCCACTCCAATGTTAAATTTGACCCTCCATAACAAATGAGGGTTACACCCTTGTTCTACAGTATGCACATTGTACTGTTCCTAAGTTACTGGTATAGACAATCCAATAATTGTCTCAGAGTCTAAAAGCTGGGTACTTTCATTCCAGAAAAATGCAGGATAAAAGCTACTTAACACATTAAAGGTACATTCATAACACCATGACCACTAAAGTCTGATGTAGTGATTATCGTGAGGCAAATGCCCCAGCAAAGTTCCACAGTAAGATGTCAAACCATTTTGGCAAGGTTTGATAACTTAATTGAGTTCCGCTGGGAAACCATGCTTAGAGCAATGCAGTACGATCATTGACTGAAAGTGCTAAGCAGCCAATCATTGCAGTTCTGCTCTGCTTCAAAGTGACATCCGTCTTCTTCTACTGGAAAAGACTGGTATGGCAGGTGCCGTGCATGGAGTGTTCCTTTCATCAGGCCATAGAGGCTGAATACCTGTCAAGTAACTTTAATAATTTTGACAACTAAACTACATCTAGTGTTTAGTGCCTTGTTTACAGATTACAAGCAACAGCAGCAGACAACAGATTTTATCAGAGGAAAGATTAATAAATTGAAAAATTGGTTTAAATACTGCCTTGAGTGTCCCCACCAGAACGGTTTCTTGGTTATATATCATATCAGAGTAATATGTTATAATAATCTTGTTATAATCAATATAATAATATATTGATTACTGGGAAATGCATGGTCTTTACTAATTATGACACTGGTAAAGAGGCACTAGAATAAAGATCACACCCTAAAAACTCAAATAAATTAAAACTTCTACATCACTTATGACAGTTAAAAGGATACTATAGTACCAAGAATATAAATCTATATTCCTAGCACTACAGTTCCCTCTGGTCGCCCACTCCCTCACCTTTCCCCTGGCATGCAATGGGTTAAAAAAATAATTGAGTCACTTATTCGATCCAGCGCCGATGTCCCTGGGTTGGCACCCTGCCTCCTGCACATGCGCCACAAGTGTTAGCATTAAATCTTCCAATGGGGATTTAACAGATACTGAAATGTCCAGTGTGAGTCGACCTAAAGCATGGGTCCTCAAACTCCGGCCCCCCAGATGTTGCTGAACTACAACTCCCATGATTCTTTGAATTACATAGATAGCCAGAGAATCATGGGAGTTGTAGTTCAGCAACAGCTGGGGGGCGGTGTTTGAGGACCCCTGACCTAAAGTCTGGTAAGATCCCGGGAAAGGCTCAAGTGGCTGTCTGGTAGAGCCACTACAGTCCACAACATCTGGAGTGCCAAAGATAGTCTACCCCACCCTAAAGGCTGTCTTAACATTGCTGTTTCTTTAAAACTACAATGTTGTATATTGCAGGACTAAGTGTGACGGGACACCCAGACTTCTTCAGTCAGTGTTCCGGGTGACTATAGTGTCCCTTTAAGCAGTCTCTGTATGATTACACTGTGTTAACCCCAGCTTGTCATCAGATCTCAGGACTCTGCCCTCAGGGTGTCAGGTCACAGCGGGCACATGGATGGAGAGGCTGGCTATTACCATGCTGCTGGCTGACCCGGGAGGCGGTTAGCAGTCACTGCGATCACTCACAGTTCGCTCACAGGGGGGGAAGGCCAGGCCCCCCTCACCCCACGAGGAGGAGACAGTCCTAATGGCTGCGGATATCTCCCTCTCCTCATATCCGCTACGTGGAAGTCACACAAGGACTGTACACAACACAACCCGGAGGCCTGACCTCCCCTCTTTACTGGGGGGAACTAGCCGTGACACTTCACCTCTTCCGCCGTCTGAAACTCGTCCATCTTCCCCCAGCTGGTCCTGCACCGACCTGCCCGAGCGCCCTACACAACAGCCGGTAACCCTGGGATACTGCGCGTGCACCGACCGCCAGCACTCCTGGCATACCGCGCGCGCACAGTCTTTACAACTGCCCCCGCCCGTTGCCAGAGACGCGCGAGTGGTGAACGCCCATAGTCACGCGGCCCGCCTATTGTGAGTGTATCTGCGGCAGTTTATTGCAGACAGTCTGAGGGTGTGACAGCTGGGACTCCGAGCTCGGGGTCTTTGTCATCCTGTGCGCACAGCTTCCTGTCATAAGCCCGCACTACGTGTCCCAACATGGTGTGGGACAGTTACTGCATTACAAATAACAGCTACAGGGCTATAGCATAAACATATGCTTTCAGAAAAAAAAATACATAGTGTACTTTTTAGAGAAGTTTAATATAGAAACAATTGGTGAAGTATTTACTACATTTTAGTAAAGATAATATTGGTACTATTATTCATGTCTACCCATCTATGAAAATCAGTGTATCTAATATAGCCCTTCAAGCGGGGAAAATAAATAGTTATTTTTTAAATTGTAATTTTTTAAAATATTTGTTTTATCTGAACAGTAGTTTTGTTAAGGAGTTAGTTACATTGAAAGCATCATGTATCTTTGTGATATATGGGGTAGTCAATGTATATGGGAGTGATTTAAGGTTAGTAAATGTTTCCATAACAGCGTAACTCAACCCTAAAACGCAAACGGGCTTACATGTTGTTAGGGCGGCATAGCACACTGCTGCTTTAAGCCCTCCAACGTGTATCCATTCCCTCCCAAGCTGGAGGACCTGTCTGGCAACCCTGTGGCCAATTGGTGGCGATCTGCAGTAAATGAGCGCAGTATCACAGTTACAATGTGTCAACGAATAAATAATTGGTTAATAATAATAAGAAACATTGACCGACACATTGTCTTTGTCCCTTTCTTCTTCTCACTTAGATCTGATGCCGAGAAAGGCAGAGATCTTTGAAAGTTTTTTTTTTGTATTTTTTAAGTCAGTGATCAAGTGATCTGAGGGCTCTTGGATGAGGCTGAAATTTATGGGGGCGTAATTTTATTAAATAAATAAATAACCTCTTAGTACTAATTGTAGCTGTTTGAACAGCGATCAGTAATTTTATTTAAATTTTTGGGTTGGGTGTTTTTTATTTTTTATTTTTATCTGTGTTAGGCAGGTAGACAATAAAGTAAATTAGCCCCTTAGTTTTTAGCGTATAATTAATCTCCCTAGAATGGCACGTTACTATATGGCGGAGGAGGCGTACACCATTCTGGCAGACAGTTATAGTGACACTATCACAGCCTCTGACATTGAGTCCATGAGTGAGACCTCAAGTGATGGTTTTCCACCACCTTCTACAGAAGACGTTTAGGAAGCTCAATGCCGGAGGTAAACTGGGTACCCCCAAACCTGACAGCCCCAGAAATTCCCTCATTCATGGCAACACCTGGCATCACAGTAATAGTGGATGCTTGCGAGCCACTAAAATACTTTAAAGGATCACTATAGTGTCATTAAAAAAAGCGGTTTTCCTGACACAATAGTGCCCTGAGGGTGCCCCCAACCTCAGGCTCCCCCTCCTGTGGCGCTGAGGTGGTTAAAACCCCATCAGCAGCTTACCTTATTCCATTACCTTATCTTATGACCTCTCCCCTGCCGACGTCAGCTCCCCCGTCAGTGGAGCCAAATGCGCATTCAAAGTATCCATAGGAAAGCATTTCTCAATGCTATCCAATAGACGCTCTGCGCGATGGATGTGTAATTCCCATCCAGCGTCGCAGATGCGCCTCTAGTGGCTGTCCAAAAGACAGCCACTAGAGGCTGGATTAACCCCAAATGTAAACATAGCAGTTTATCTGAAACTGCTAAGTTTGCATCTGTAGGTTTAAAACCTGAGGGACCTGGCACCCAGACCACTTCATTGAGCTGAAGTGGTCTGGGTGACTAGTGTCCCTTTAAAGCTCTTTATTTCGGATGACATATTGTTTTCCAACCAGTATCTCAATGCAAATCCAGGGTCACATTAATATAAAAGAAACAGATATCACAGAAATTTTAAAATTTTTGGCTCTAGCCAGGGCCAGACTGGCCCACCGTTATACCGGAAAATTTCCTGGTGGGCTGGAGCAGTTGGGGCTGCACAGTGCAGCAGCCCCTCCTCCCACCATCCAGTAAACACTCACATTGGGGGCCTGAGGAGTGGAGGTCCCCTCTTACCCATGGAAGGCACTTCATCACTAAATATAGATGCAGGTAGGGAAGAGCCAGTATTTGGCGAAACGCATGTTGGGACAGCTTAGAGCAGTGGGTGGAGTGGTTAGATAAGGGACGATGCTGCAGCTATAATATACTTTATATCTCTATGATTAGCCACCACGCTATGTTTTTAACTAAGTGATATCGATTTAGTGATATTGCCCTACTAGCTGGTATCGGTCAGCGATATCCAGCTATTGGTTAGTAACGGCTAGATATTCAGCGAGGGGCTTGGGGTCTGACCTTTTTAGATTTCGACATTGGGATTTGGAGATTGGAGACTTTTGGGAATTTGGATAACACCATGGCAGGGTGCACTTGCAAGCACCTCTTTGGGTTTTTGCAACTTTTAGATAATCAGTGTATTCCCCTCCATGTTCCCAGGTACTATATATGTTTGTACTTTCTAGCCGAATATCCTCCCCTCCACATGTATATAGCACTTATAGCCACAAGATTTTTAGTTTTTATAGTCGTTTATTAAAGGTTATGTTTTATTTTACTTTATTCTACTATTATTCTATGGGTTGCTTCTGTACTTGGAAGGTTTACTTTATCCACCTGCAAGCAGCAAGTGCTGGAAAGCGAACTTTTAATGCTGCTCGTGAGTGAGACATAATGAGTAGACAGCCAGCAGGAGCCAGGAGTAAGTGCAGGGAGGATGGCAGTCCCGGTCCCTGCCTGACAGCCTTCACACACAGGTCCGGTGCAAGGTCACTGACTCACAAAAAAGCTCACTATACACAAGCTCACACTGACACACAGACAAGCATGGATCAATGTGTGCCAGTGTATGTTAATGAGTGTGTGTGCGTCAGTGTGTTTGTATGGGTCATAGTGTGTATGTATGTAGTTTTTTCTATATCTTCTATATCAGTTTTTTTTTTAAATTTAAAATAACAGATTGCATCTGTATATTTTCACACATGTATATTAATGTATGTGTATATATCAAATTGTACTTAATGAAATGACTTAATCATGTAAAAATATTATATAAATATAATATATATATATATATAAAAAAAAAATTCAATATTTGATGGTACCCGCCACCAACTTTTGGGGACCGGCCCATGCGCAAACCGCCGGGGCCGCCGTCCATGCTGTTAGGGCCACCCGATGGGTATGGATTGTCAGGGGACCTGGTCAGCGCTGCAGCGCTTTTACAGCGCGACCGGGACCCCTGTGATGAGATCACACGCTGGGAGGAAGTGACTGCACTGGTCACTCCTCCCAGCAATCACACAGAGCCCACGCAGGAGGAAGGAGAGGGAGTCAGAGTGGGAACTTTGACTCCCATCAACCTGAGCCACCACTGGACCCCAGGGAAAGTCACCCTCCTGCACCTAAAAGGTAGGAAACAGGAGGGTGACTTAAAAAAATTTTTTGTGTGTGTTTGTTTGTTTGTATGTATGTGTGTTGGTATGTGTCTGTGTGTCTGTCTGTATGTGTGTGTGTGTCTGTATGTATGTGTGTATGTGTGCCTGTCTGTATGCATGTATGTGTCTTTGTATGTATGTGTGTCTTGTGTGTGTGTGTGTGTGTGTATGCATGTGTCTGTCTGTATATGTGTGTGTGTCTGTATGTGTGTATGTGTCTGTGTGTCTTTGTGTGTGTTCTGTCTGTAAGTATGTGTCTGTCTGTGTGTGTGTTTGTGTGTCTCTATGTATGTGTGTGTGTGTCTGTCGAGGGGGAGCCCACGGATCAGTTTTGCACCGGGGCCCCATGGATTGTGTGTATGCTAGTGCACACACAATCATAAAACATAGCTTTGCTTTGGTGTAACTTGGGTGAGAAAAGGATGAGGAACACTGCTTTATGGGATTAAACAAAAATTTACGATTTTTCCTTATTTCATCTTCCTTAACCCCTTAAGGACACATGACATGTGTGACATGTCATGATTCCCTTTTATTCCAGAAGTTTGGTCCTTAAGGGGTTAAAGGAGCACTATAGGAACACAAACATGTATTCCTGACCCTATAGTGTTAAAACCACTATCTAGCCCATTTGGCCCCCTTTGCCTCACTAAAGATAGTACAATCTTACTTGTATTCAAGTCTGAAGCTGCTGACTCTGCCTGTGAACTTCCTCTGACCTCTGACATCATCAGAAGTGGTGGCCTGCTCCAATCACAATGCTTCCCCATAGAATTGGCTGAGACTGACAAAGAGGCAGATCAGGGGCAGAGCCAGCACAATACAAATACTGCCCTGGCCAATCAGCGTCTCCTTATAGAGATGAATTGAATCAATAAATCTCTATGAGGAAAGTTCAGTGTCTGCATGCAGAGGGAGGAGATACTGAATGTTTGGATGCATTTTAGGCAGCCATGACCCAGGAAGGATATCTAACAGCCATGTAAGGAGTGGCCAGTGAAGTTATCACTAGGCTGTAATGTGAACACTGCATTTTCTGTGAAAAGACAGTGTTTACAGCAAAAAGCCTGAAGTTAATGATTCTACTCACCAGAACAAATTCAATAAGCTGTAGTTGTTCTGGTGACTATAGTGTCCCTTTAAGCAAATCACATTCAGATTGTTTCTACATTATTTGTATATCTTTCCAATGATAATGTAAAATCATGTTGTAAGTAAAGCACTAGCAAAGATTAATGATGTTAAATCAAGTCAAAATGACTTCTACTGTAGGTAAGAAATATGGGAGGAGGAGTAAAGAGTGGTTCCTGTTGTCTCAGATCTAGTTGAAAGGATCTGTGTACTGTCTACTCAGAAACCTTATCCCTGGGTATTATAACATACCTATTTATCTTGTATATAATTGAATAAGCATCATTTAAAGCAGGTTACAGGCGGGTGACGAACCTGGTCCTTCATTCCGCGGAAGCAGTTCACACCGGATGACGGACCCAGTCCTTCATGTGCTAAAGTTAACCCCAGGTCGCCGTGATTGCGGGGTTAACGTTCCTCCAGTCTTTCTTGGTATTCGAGGCAGGCCGTGAGCACCAGATCATGCCGTCCCTGCTATAGGGACTCACGA